CATTGGCATCCAGGTTAAAAATTATCAATTTTAATGTAATTTTCCAGAGGTTTCTTGTTTGGATTTCTGGTTGGTTAGCTTTGGGGTTTTTGTTTGGAGTGCTTTGGATTTTTTGTTTCTCTGAGGTAACTTCCCCAGTCTTTTTCCTTGTGTAGTTTCTGCTGTGTTTCCTGCTGCCCCTTTCCAGGGGCTCTTCAGAAAGGGGTTCATTGGTCAGACTCTGAAGTGCCCAGTGACACTGGACTGAGGGTGTTTCTAGGACATTTTAGAATCCAGAACGGCATATAGCACAGAGGGCTGAGGGGCTCACAACCTGTCTGGATAGGAGCAAGAGCCCAACCCAACAGGTGGGTTACAGAAACATTTCTTTCCCTGAAGAGTAAAATCAGCATGTGTTGTGCATTAAGAAATGGCAAACCGCTCCCAACAAGGCTGTGTGCCTCCTAAGTCCCAGTTCCCAGTCTCCAGTGGGTTTCTTTTGGAGCAGATTAGATATTGTTGTGTATTTCTTGGTAACTGAGCCAAAGATGAGCAGGTTTGTGTCCAGCTGACATCCAGCTGACATAGGTTGTGTGACTGCAGGTGTGCCCTGCCTGTGCCATCTCCCTGCTCCTGGCTCTGGCACAGTGCTGGACACTGCTGTGCCCCATGTACGCAGCTGTAGATTTAGCCACTGCCCCCACACCCACAGAACCATTTGAGGCTGCACCCGGCTGCAGACCCCCAGCTGGAAGAGGGGACTGAGGCAGCCCCACATCCCCAGCCAGTCCTCAGCCACCATCACCCAGGGCCACACCACATGCAACAGCTGCAGAGGGAAATTTTACTGGCCATAAACAAAGCAGTTCTGGTGAGTTCAGTGCCACTAGCTCTCAGCTCTGTGCTGAGACCTCTGTGTCTGACTGCAGCACTGAGGCCATGGGTGGCCTGTGCAAGCCACTGTGCTTATGTACAAAGTGCTGCAGAGCCTCCCTGGCAGCCTGGGGAAACCCAGCAGACACCAGATTTAAAGCCAAGGCACGTGGGAACGGTGGACAGTGGGACAGCCCCTCTTGCCCAGGCCAGGTTTTGCAGTCCAAGGCACTGTCCTTGTTCTGCACAGGGCAGAGACTCAAGACTTTGGGCAGCCCTGAGGCACAGCTCGTGGCCATGCCCAGGGCCAGCACGTCTGGCACCACATTATTAGCTTTTTGCAGGGTTCCCTGGCCATAGCACAGCTGCTGCAGGGCCCGTGCTGAGCTCAGCACATGGTGTCTGAAAAATACAGACAGAATCCTGGACCTGTAGCCTTGTTCCTGACTTTATTTTGCCATTCTGCTATCAGTGATGTGCTGAGGGTGACGAGTGACAGCAGCGTGCCACATGCTTAGGCCGGGAGCCCCAGGGTCCCTGTGCTGTCACAGATGTCCCACAGATGGACATTGCAGTGCCAGCGCCGTGTGGGCAGCCTGTGGTAGCCCTGGCACTGGTCAGGCGTTGTTGCCTGCGGAGCCTGGTGTGCCAGCCACCCGCACAACCTTCCGCAGGGCCCCCCACACCTCCTGGTTGCGAAGGCTGTAGATGAGGGGGTTGAGCATGGGGGTGATGATGCAGTACAGCACGGAGACCAGTACATCAGCTGCTGGGGAGTAACCTGAGCTGGGCCGGTTGTAGTTCAGGTTGGCTGTCGTGAAGTACAGGGTGACCACGAGCAGGTGTGCAGAGCAGGTGGAGAAGGCTTTGCGCCGGCTGGTGGCGAGTGGCATCCTGAGGATGGTGGCCAGGATGCAAAGGTAGGAGATTACAACAAACAGGAAGGGACTGAGTCCCACAAAGATGCTGGACACATGGAGGGCCAGCTCATTGGGGCGGGTGTTGCTGCAGGTGGCCCCCAGCAGCGGCGGCACGTCGCAGAAGATGTGCTGGAGCTGGGCAGCCCCGCAGAACGAGAGCCGGGTCGCCAGGAGGGTGTGCACGGCCGAGTCCAGCAGCCCCCAGAGCCAGCAGCCAGCA